GCTAGGAAAATCCTTAACTTCAAAATGTGATGAGTGACAAACCATTTTTATAAACCTTAATCAGAATCAAAACCATAAAAAGAAAACCATATATCTATGTGTTCAGTGGTAGGTAGTAGCTATCTGTAAAGACAGTAGATGGATTAATGGCCCAAGGGCCCTTTTACCAGGGCTTCTACCCTGTAGTGTTTGCATGAAGTGAAAACATTTTTTTGTTCAAAATGTAATAAAATGACTAAAAGAGACACAAAACAGCAATAAAGAGATGCATGGTGATTAATAAGACACAACATGACTGCAAAGAGATGGAAACATATTGTGGAGACCTACGTCGGCTATTGGGGGGCTCCAAGTATAGGTAGTCTCTCTCCTCCACGCCGGGGGTCATTACAATATACACAGTGATGATAAATGAGCATGGCAACACACAGTATGACTCGGACACACAAAATGACCTCAGATATTAAGAACAAGAAGAAAAAACAAGTAAATTAATGATCAAAGTGACCACAAAGAGACACAAAGCCACAAAAAATGTAAATCAAATACAGAAACACCTCTTTGCTTTTCAACAGCAGCGCAAACTACATCCTCTAAAATTGTCATGTAGTTGAATTATCACCTCTAAAACACAAACTGAACATAATCTACTTCATGAAGGAGGATTTTGTGCACGACTTTTGCACATTAGTTTTAACTTGGTGCAAACAACTCAGTGGAATTAGATACTATTTTTTTACACTTAGTAATAATCTGCCAGCCAGATGCTAATTTAATGTAAATAAAATCTAATAGTTTTAATTGTAAGCTATTGATTGTTAAACAATAATCGTAATGATATTATCATTATGATTTGGCTACTGGAGTTATAGCCGTGTGTTTGCATTTGAGTTGCTCTCAGCATAAAACGTTCTTATAGTGACATCTAGTGTTTAAACCTAAACATGCCTCGGTCCTATATATATACACTGTATATAACATGTGTTATCATATATGTCTGTCTGCAGTATATATTCTACCGTGTCTGTGTTTAGAATTAGCAGGAATTTTATTACAATAATTGAGATTCTTCTTTGATATACTCCGTTGTTAGTTAAGGAAATGAATAAAGTGCTCATTCTCTTTAGGAAAGAAAACGAGATTCATCCACGTTTATAGAAAAGTGATTGAAACGACTTGGACTTTGTACTTCTTGTTTCTTTCCTTGTGGAAATGAAATGCTGCCACTTTAGCTGATGTGTCTTGTGTATTTCTCCCTGTATGGCTGTAACCCCGTGTTGTCTGCAGACTGCAGCTGCCACGTATGAAAGGAGGAGCAAACAGCCCCTCCTTGCACTCCTCTGCTTTTCGGTCAACAGCATGCAGAAAGTTTGCATCAGTCTGCGGTGTCTGAGTTGTGTCAGATAGATGTTAGTAACAAAAACACTGACAGATCCCCGTGTTTCCTAAGATGCTCCAGTTTTTTGTCCTTCATTATACTGACATTTCCTCACTTCAAGTTACTTAAAAAGAGATATTGACTTAATGCTAATTCTGATATGTACATTGCTGAACACTGACAAACCGGTTGAAGGGACCTACATTGTCGCTGCTGTAACAATATGATGCTTCTGCAGGAACCTCACTCTCGTCTTTTTGTATAGATTTGGTGTAAACGTAAAAGATGATGACCAAAGTGAAGCAGCAATCATTCTCTGTCAGCCGGTGTTCTACGTCATTAAACTAGACCCATATACAGAGCCCAAGTTCTTCATGGGACAGCCTACATCCGCATACCTCAACCCGAGGAGCCCCGCCGAGAGACACGACGCGCTCACTGATACGCTGCTGGTCCAGTTGGTAGGTTTGGACTGGAAACGCTCCTCATCCACGACTGCAAAACCAGCAGCATTCGCATCACACACAACCACCTCGGCGAGCTCCTGCTGACAATGACTGCGAAAAACCGGCATAAGAACAGCTCCAGCGAGAAAAGCGCTGCGTCCATCCAGGATGATGTGGCGAAGAAAAGCCAGAAGAGTAACAGTAATGTAGTGAATGGCTCCGGACCCCAGGCGCCACGGTCGAGGAGCTGCCTAGGTCTTTTTGTCACCACACTGTTTTATATTGCATTAATAGGCGGTGCAGTGTTTGCTGGTTTTTATTTACAGCAATTAGTAGAAGAATTCCGACAGATACACGCCAAAGATGAGGAGAGTGCACGGCAAAGCGCAGAACTGGGCAGTAAACTGGAGAGTGTCGTTCAGCAG